TTTCCCGACATACGACGCTCCCGACACTTATTGATCCCCCTGCCTGCGATCAACGACGACTGCCATTGATCCCCCTGCCTGCGATCAACGACAACTGCTTATTGAATGCACCTTGCCTGTGTATAACACCTTTTTTTTTAGATGGCCCGCTCGACCCGCAGTGCCAAGGAGGAATTCTCGGCCCCCGACAACCTTCCGTCACTGTTCGCTGAACGACTGTTAACCGACACGCTTAAGAAAATCACCCCGTTCGACGGCAATCCCCAGGATGCCGCCCCCCGGCTGTTGACCATCATCCGCTCCATCAACATGATTCACACCTTACGCCCCGATCTAACTGAGGAGGACCTTTTCTTAGTCGCTGTCTGCAATCTCCGCGACCACGCCCTTACATGGCTGGAAGACTGGAACCGCTCTGCCGCAAAAGCCGACGTTATTACTCAGTGGACCCCCCTCCGTCGTGCACTCCATCAACGCTTCATTCCCGCTGCTTATCTGGACTCTCAACGCCTTGCTCTGCGAAACCTCACTCAAACCGGCACCGTCGGCGAATACAACTCCGCTTTCGAGAAAATTCGCTTAACCCTGCCGAACATGGACTCTGACGACGTTTGCCTTACTTACATTTGCGGTCTCAAACCCTCAGTTCGTGACCGCATTCGCAATCGCATTGCCGCCGACACCCAAACCCTCGACGCCTTACAAGTTGCCGCACTGGACCTGGATGCATCAGTATACACAAAACCTCGGACTCCTGAAGCCTTTGCCGCTGCCGCCGCTGCCACGCATTCCCGTCGCCGTCCCAGGCCGACGGCCCGTCCCTGTGACATCTGCACCCAAGGAACCCACTATGTTCGTGACTGTCCCCTTGTCATTGACGCCAAGAAACGCGCTCAGTCCCGCCCGGCCGCACATGCCGCTGAACTCGACCATGAGGCCGACTCCGCTCCGCCCGACTCCGACGCTGACACCGACTCCGATCCCGAGGCCTTCCTTGTCTTATCGACTGACCGTGACGCGCCGCACTCCATTGCTCTTGATTCGGGCGCCACCCATAGCATCATTCGCGATCGCTTCCTTCTGACGGAATTTCAAGCTTTTCCCTCGGCCCGACAAATCTCCGGCATCGGCACGTGCGCTGCTTACGGCAAGGGAACCTTAATCATCAACACACGTCGCGGTTTATTTAAGCTTATTGACGTGCTCTATGCTCCGGAATGTCCGCGGAACCTGCTCTCCTTCGCATCATTGGCCCAGTCTCGTTATGCATTAGACTTCTCGGCTGATCTTAGTGCCGGGTGGATTACTCATCGCAAGTCGGGTGCTCGTGTAGCTGATGTCATATGTCACAATAAACTTTATTTTATTGCCGGGTACACAACCGCCTCTCCGGCTGAATATGAAGCCTACACCAGTCATCCCCGCCGCAGGTCCGCACGTACCGCGTGTCGCCCATCCCGGTACACCCACGATTCGTCCGTGACTGCGCCCCCCGCTGCCGTCACTGCGCTTCCGATGGCACAGCAATTTCACGCGTCCGACACGGTGGCACAGCATTTTCCGACAAATCGACCAGAATCGACCAATTCGACCGAGTCGACACCGTCGACACCACCGACACCACCGACACCTCCGACACCTGCGATTGTCGATGACACTGTTTATTCACCAAGTATAACGCCTACTTCACATGCTCTCTCTGACCCTGCTCCTAGTCCTGCCGACTCTGTCACTCTTAAGCTCTGGCATCTATGTTTCGGTCATCCGAGCGCTGCTAATCTCCAACTAGCGCTTCGCGCATACGGCATTTCCGCGCCCGGCACCCTTGCCACCTGCGTCGGGTGTCGTGTCGCTAAGTCCCGACGCTCCCCATTCAATCATGACAACCCCCAACCTGCAACCCGCGTCTTTGGTCGCATCCACAGCGACGTACAGTCAGTCGAGCATGACACACTCGATCACTGCCCGTACCTTGTCATGTTCATCGACGAACTTACTCGATACGCACATGTCACCATCATCAAACATAAACATGATGTCCCCGCTGAATTCCACGCTTTCCGCCAACATGCTGAAAACCTCCATGGCTGCAAAATCCTTGAACTGCGATGCGAGAACGGCGGCGAATATCTGAGTCATGCCCTTGTCGGCGATCTCCGGCAGCACGGCACACGGGTTCGTCCTACCCACGCATACTCTCCCGCGCAAAACGGCATTGCCGAGTGTTATAATCAGACGTTAATGACACAAACCCGGGCGGTCATGCTGTCGAGTCACATACCTCAGCACTTGTGTGGGGAAATCGTCGTTGCTGTCAACTACCTCCGTCAGCGCACCCCGTCCCGCGCCATCGGAAATGCAACTCCATATGAAAAATGGCATGGTTCTCTTGCGGACGTGGCGAACCTGCGGGTCTTGTGGTCCGACGCTTATGTCCATATCCCCGTCGAACGCCGTCCCCATAAAAAGCTCGAACCCCGGGCCCGTCGCATGAAACTGATCGGGTACACTGACTCCACGGGTTACCGTTTCTACGATCCCCTGACACAGCGCATTCATCGGTCCCGTGACGTCACGTTCGATGAAACCAACTATGTCGATCCTGCTCCCGACGCTCCCGATGATGAAGTTTTTGAAGTCGAGTACATTGTTGATGAACGGATCGCACCGACGGGGGAGCATCAATATTTTGTTAAGTACGTCGGGTATTCTGAACCTGAATGGAACGATGCGTTCAACTTACACGGCTTGCCCGTTGTCGATGAATACTTTGCTCGTAAGCACCAATCCCCGGCGATTGCACCTACAGTCGAGGCCTTAGTAGCGTCCGCTCTGGACGGCCCCCGTGCCCGGGAACCCGTCACTTATAAGCAAGCGCTGCGCTCACCTGACCGGCATGCCTGGCAGCAGGCCATCGATAAAGAGCTCCAGTCCTTACTTGACAATCAGACGTGGATACCCGTCGATGCCTTGCCGTCTGATGCTTATGCCATCGATTCTAAATGGGTTTTCAAGATTAAACATCACCCGGACGGGTCCATCAAGAAGTATAAGGCCCGCCTTGTTGCCCGTGGGTTTACCCAGTGCCCGGGTCTCGATTTCAATGAAACCTATGCCCCGGTCGTCAAGTTCAGCACGCTCCGCCTGCTATTGGCTCTCTCTCAGCTCTTCTGCCTTGTCGTCCACCAAATGGATGTCCTCACGGCATTCCTGAACGCTGTAATCGACACCGACATTCATATGCAACTCCCTGACGGGTCGTACGTTAAACTCCTACGTTCGATCTATGGGTTAAAACAGTCACCGCGCTTATGGAACCAAACCCTCGACACTTATCTGAAGTCCGTTGGTTTCCAACCCACGGTTCTCGACACCGCGCTGTACATTCGCCCTGCTGCCGGCGGCACACCTGACATCATCGCCCTGTACGTTGATGACCTCACCATCTGCTCCACGACGGCCCGCATACAGTCCATTAAGAATGGTCTTGCCCGGCGATTCGCGATGGAGGACATGGGGGAGCTTTCGTACATCCTGGGCATTGAAGTCACGCGCACTGTCGATACATTGACACTGAACCAAGGCAAATACATTGACGACATGCTCCTTCGCTATGGCCTTGTCGATGCCGCATCTGTCACTGTTCCACTGTCGCCAAGTTTATCGCTTGTCGCTGCGTCCGAAACCGATGTCCTGGCCGATCAAAAGCTTTATCAGTCAATAATTGGAAGCTTGATGTACCTTACCATCGCTACGCGGCCCGATCTTGCTTTTGCAATCTCCAAACTGTCCCGCTTCTTGTCGAATCCCACTGAACAGCATCTGAACGCTGCACGTCGGGTCCTCCGCTATGTAAAAGGCACTCGAAATCTTAAGCTCCGCTATGGCTCTCGAGACGGGGGAGCAAACTGTTCATTGCACGGTTATTCTGATGCCGATTTCGCTGGAAATGCCGAGAACCGACGCTCGACGTCGGCGTACCTTTTTCTCTTGAACGGAGGCGCTATTTCATGGGCATCCAAGCTCCAGAACTGCACGGCGCAATCTACAGCAGAAGCAGAATACATTGCGTTAGCAGAGGCCGCTAAGGAGGCCGTCTGGCTCCGTCGACTGATGCTCGCGCTCCTTGAGCACTTTCCACAAAATAACACCCACAAGTCCATTCTCCCGGGCACTGAACATGGCCCTGACACACACGGCACTCTAACAGTGTACGAGGACAACCAGGCAGCCATCAAACTTGTCAACAACCCAGTTAATCACAATCGCACCAAGCACATTGATCTCCGCCATCATTTCATCCGCGAAAAAGTTCATCAGACCCAGGAAATCGCTCTCTGCTATGTATCCACCAATAATCAGCTTGCTGATGGACTTACCAAGGCTCTAGCCGCTCCTGCTCTGAATCGCATGCATCCGCGCATGGGTCTCCATATGTCCGATGCTTCTGACAAGTTGCTGACAGCGTCCGACACTGCTGACAAGCTGCTGACAGTGTCTGACAAGGTGCTGAAGGTGTCTGACACTGCTGACAGGTTGCTGACAACGCCTGACACTGCTGACAAGCTCCTGAAGGTGTTGAACACTGAAAATAAGCACTAAACAGCTGCTGAAGGTGTTGGGCAGTTTGCAGGAAATGTCGTGCATGCACCGAGGGGGGAGTGTTGTAAGGGGGTCCCGGTGACATACACGTCATAGGGATACCCTAACCAGGGCGCGCGCTATGGCATGGGTTCTTATCCATATCAGCGCATACACGTGCGTCATGTGCCCGTGAGCACGTGACCCATGTGACTGGGTGCCCTAACACCCGACACGTGACCTTTTCCGTCGGGTGGTTCTCTTATGCCGGGCATTCAACTGTACTCTTAGAACCTCAGACTTGAATACACATAAGCTTATTAGAAGGACCAGAGCCTCAGCAGGATCCTCTGCAACAAAGAGATCATCAACAGCGGAGTAATCCTATTGGAAACCCTACCGTCTGATCATAATCCTTCTACACTGGCTGGAGTTTGAACCCAGGACCTCCTGATATCTCGCACAGGTGCTCCACCACTGTGCTACCAGTCCCATAAAAGGATTTGTGGATTCCATATTCCAGCAAATACTACAGATATTTGAAGGAAAGATCATACTAATCATAGTTAAGATTCAGTGGGATGTGGAAGCTACCTCTGGATGTGGCTACAAAAATGCTTGCAATTGCGGAGAAGCACCCGCGAGGCATCGTTGAGAGGTCCTTCTCTGTAACATCACATGCTTTGTTAATAAATGAACAGATTATATGGTCAATACATGCTTGAGTGTGACTTTCTCTCTGATCAGGCTCCACTGGATCTGGATGGAATGGATGTTCTCATCCAACCTGTGACAAACCGCCCAAAACCACTTTCTTGGAGCCGAGATTATTCTTCGCATATCACCGAAAAGTTCCTGGAATTGATTAGCGTCGCTCGGTGTCATAGCGGCACTACATTATACCGGTTGGAGTTGAGATCTTGGGAGCTCCGAATGCCAGTGAAGATCCCTGTTACACGATGAATTCAGATTCTGGTCACTTGAAAAGCCAAGCAATTCATTTTATTGCACGGAACATGATCAAACTATTTGTCGGTCCCTAGTAGCTTGATGACGATGTGCCGACAGTGTCCGCAGGCAGGTTATTGAAAATCGAATCGCCATGTATATCTCTGTTGCATGGCATTACCCAGTGAGTATGTGCGTTCCCAGTTTGAACATCCCAACAGATCCGCCGGCGGGTGTCCGGACATACAGGTATACAATACTCGGCATGGCAAACATCTTGCTACTCAGTCTTCCTCTTCCTCTTTCAACGATATAAACGCTGTGAACGGTGTTCCAAGTCCCTGCTCTCCTGCATGACGACTTGATGCTTGAGATAAGCATAATGAAGACTGTGCTCGCCAGTGATATAGTCCAGTTGACACCACTGAGTGCCCGGTTAGGGGAGTAATCTATCCGCGGAAGCGGTTGCTCGTCTGCTGCTGCTGGTGGTTCCGTGCGTAATGTGTCGCGCCAGGAAATATAAACGGTGTTTCGTGGCTCAATGATCCTTGCTTGGAATTTGGGACTGTATCAGCCGAATGCGATGAAAGGTACACATTTCCGCACGTCGTCCAGCGGCGTGCCAAGAGCGTCCTGGGATGATGGAGGTGTGGAAAGGTCATAGCGCCGGTGTGAGCTTTGGTGCAAAATTCCCATCGCGTCCAGTTCTGTTGAAAGTGCTTCTGGAAAAGCTTTCCACCACGCAATGAATGAGTACCAGTACCAGCCGCTTTCAACCGCTAGATTGGCAGCTAAAAAAGATAATTCAGGGCCTCTACCAGACGATGACCCCACTGAGTGGCGAGATGCTGACGACGATTCTTTCTACGCCGATGCATGGATCACAGAACAGCAAACTTTGGGAGGACTACAGGCTTCCGATCAACCACTAGAATGGGTTTGGGCAGTTCTGGACGATGATACCGAACTTGTTGACAAATGGAATCCGCGCACTGTACGGGAGGCATTCATTTCAGTACCAAGGAGCAGGAGGAAAAGGGCCGTCGGAACCACCGATTCCTCAAGTTATCCGGCATCCGCCTGTGTCTTGAACCAGGCTTTTCCGACTCTCAGTACTGACGTGCACATGAAAGTCAATATGCCTGCATCGAAGCAGTTTGCAAGCAAAGTATATCCAGCGAAGCTGCCCAAGAAGAAGTCGACACACAAAGTTCTTTCCATGAAAAACTTCAGTCTCCAAATGTCGTGCGTGGAAGGAGCGCAACGGAAACCCCAGAAGGTTGTCGACACCATTCTACCGACGTTAGAAGTTAGAGAGATTATTGGAAGAAAATGGAGAACACTGACGAAGTCATGTGAAGTGCTGGCTCCAGCTGAGAAGGGCAACACCCGGGCCACCACATGCGAACCAAAACAGCCACTATGGACAATCGCGACCGTAAGAAATACACAAGCCGAAGACGTTTTTTACGCTACAGAGTTGACTCAGACTCGTTCGGCGAAGCGTTTGGTTCAAGCTGCTCACCCTGTTCAGCGAATCATTGAAACGTTACATGGTGAGCCAACTCGCGTGGAAGAAACCCGCGTCAGTGACATGGAATCAGATATTTGGGCTATACTAGCTGCCTACGACGGTAGCATGAGACAGAAACAGCGAGAACTAGAAGATCAGATCCAGCATCTCAGAAAACAACACGAAATGTGGATAAGTTTACAGCTGGCAAATCAAGCTCGCGAAATTGGGGAGGTTAGGGCTACCGCACATCCCGTGGAAGGGGTGGTGGGGAGAGCGAATGTTGACATATCTTCAAGCACGTGCGATGCGACTCTACGGGAGCTGGCCTCAGGGGCCCGCGGACATCGATGCGCTGCCCAAATAGCGCTACCGCAGGGAGGGGCCGATTCCTCAAGCCTGTGTATTGAAGTTAGCGACTTCCCAATTAAACGTTCGAATACCGCGTCTGTCGGGTTAAGCTTCAGCGCTGTCGCTGACGAAGGGAGGAGCATCCCTGTTGATCCAGACGGACGCAGTCCACCCGGGATGCAGTACAACGCGGCGGAAGATTCATCCTACACTCAATCGAATTTCAGTCGGCGTTCCCAGGCGGTCAATCACGAACCTAAACGAAAGCGGCGGCGGCGAGGAAGAACACCAGTTCTCGAGCGCGCCCATGACGCTCAAGGTGCCGTTGTTAGTGGTCCCCTGGATCCCACCCAGGTAACTATCGTGATAGGCTACCGTTCTGCTTTGTGAAGCATGACATCTAATTAAGTCTTCAATGTGATACCCGTGATTAGGAGATAGCGCATAGTATGTCTTTGTCGACCAATGTAGAGTGCGTCAGATTATCCCGGCAAGTACGAGAAAAGGCGGGCGGAGGTTCGGACGTGACCGAAACGTTGACACAGTTCGACATTACCTCGACTCTCCAGCAGTTTTCTGGGTCATGCGAGGCCTTAGCAAGCCGGTCACATCCACTGTATTGGGCATCATCAAAGCCACCAGACTTTTTAGCAAACGCAGTTGAGAATGAGGGCTGGAATAGCCGGTTCGAGGCACCTGACGCTACATCATTAGCTTCACCCGAACCGAAGCTGCGACAACACTTGCGAAGCGTATCACACGCCAAGATGAGCGGCGAGCAGCTTGGAATGAGAGGGTGTAGGAACGGACAGCCTGGTGGTCAAGTAGAAGATTGTGGCTCGTTTATCGAAACCAGTACTACATTTTCCATCGCTGCTGTTCAGGATGAGATCCCTTGTGAGGTGGGCACTGAGACTACGGGAATGATCGAGGTATCTCAAGCTGCTTCGGAGTCGGATTTAGATGTGTCTCTTATCGACCTCACCGACACCGTCCGGGTTACAGCGGATGGCATACTAAAGTACGCGACTCCAAGGCGTTGTGCCCCTGCCTCAACTGATAAGAACGAGCTGCTTACAAGCAGCACGCACTCCATAAAAGGATGGTGCATGAACAATCAGTCTGGTTATTGCCCAGAGGATTACAATGACAATGACACCTCTATCATGCGAGAAGGCAGCGCTGCTCCTTCTGTCGTTGTTGTTTCGGATGAGGCACCATGTCGAGTGAGGCCGGAGGTAGCAGAGATAGCTGAGATATCAGAAACATCTTCGGAGTCGGATATGGATGTATCGCTAATCGACCTCACAGAGGGCGTCCGGGTCACTGCTGATGGGGTACTAGAGTACATCCCTCCGCGACCTTCTGCGCCTGCCGCAACCCATCAGAACGAGCTTTTAGCAGACGTGCCGGTACGAACAACGAGCACTGTTGAACACCCTGAGGGGGACCAAGAGTCGTGGTCACTAGAAGAAATTCTCTTTCGTTATCTTCGTGGCCAAACCAGCCTTTACTCTAGCATTCTTCGATACGAGCCGGTGGATTTTGAGACCCTTTACGAGCAAATTCAGCAGGTAGAAAGCTTGAGTAAATGTAGTAGGAAAAAGCTCAGTGAATTTTTGGACAGCAAGGCCATCAATTATTGTTTACCGGCGAGGCCAGGAAGAAATGGACGCAAATGTTATTGAGCGCCTAGAATTTCGCCGATCTTGGACTGCGGGTGCACGTCTTGGCGCCTGTGTTTTATCACGCTTTGGAAACGCCTCGCATAGAGTCCACCACTTTTATGGGCGTTGTGAGCTCGATACAATCGAAACACTTGGATGTCATTTGATGGGTTTCGGACGGTTCCAAAAGAGCAAAGCTGAAAGAAGCTGTTGGCAGGTGATAGCTGCGCGATATGCGATATGTTGACCATGTCTTTGTTCTGTCACATCCTCATGACCGACCAGTGTGGGGTTCAATGGCCATCAAGTGACTACCACTATCGACAGCAAAATCAGACCGTTCTCAGCCACAACCATTGCCCTCGATGCTACCATTCGCGGTCATCAATGTGATCGGTTGGGTATCACGTTGGATGTTCAAAAAGGCCTCGGGACCACAGGCCTCGCCATGTAGTGGAGGCCAGCAATGCCAAGCACACCAGCTTTGGCAGGGACGCTCGACTATATTTGTATCTCCCTTTGGCGATCAACTTCGCCTCATGCTCGTTGTTGGCCGGACCACGTGGCCATGATGGTTCCTGGCAGCGCTTACGGGGTTGCTGGCTTATTCCCTTTGTTGGATACTGAATGGAACCTCGCAGCCATCATCCCAGGATATCATCTCTCACACTCACAAGTTGCGTGCACAAGAACTGTAATTCTGCATGTCGTACTCCCGATGTAATCCGCAGAAACGAGACATGCCTTCTCCCTGATATGTTGATATGCTAAACGGCGTGCGTAACTTGATGATTAGATATTCGAATATTCGCTCCTTGTCTTCGTGGGCTGGTTTGATGTCACCTTGTTGTTGGGCCTGTAAACAGTGAGATGCACTGACGCGTTCCTAAAGATGATGTTTGACCCAGATCTAGGCGCTTGCATTCAGATACCAACTGAACGACCTTCCAACCAACCATGTCTTCATCTTCCAACAAGCATCGCGCGGATAGCGACCATGAAGTGGAAACCCC